GTTTAAAAACTACAAACATGGCGGATATACACGACCAACAGACAGGTAGATAAACGGATTTAAGTGATAAATAATCAATGTCTAACCTGATGAAAAAATATAAATTTAAAATTATCCACGTTATATTTCATCTGGGGCAACACTGTGAACTTTAAGAATGATACTTTTGGTCATTCACTTTTAAATGCATCATTATGCAAACACATGAGCAGAGTTCTCTGCATGATAGACCTGTGACTGGCAGATCAACGTACCTCTTAATTTCTCTCCAATATGGTAGGAAATCAAATTAAACGAAATGTGGATGATGTTAACTGTGATAAGATGATTGACAGGGCAGTTTAAACAGTGACAGAATGCACGTAACTAAGCGTCTGTTAAAAGACGCAGTTATGACGAAGTAGTATGTCCTAAAGCTTGCCTACTATTCTTCTACATACTCCAAAGTATGTACTTTTTCTTCACAAAAAGGAGTACATACTTTTAGGGCATAGTATAAGTAGGCGAATTGGGACTGCAGCAAGTCACTTGCTTCATTCCTGAATGAATCAGCTGTTCGAATGAATCAATTGAATGAATGATTCAGTGATAAAATCAGTGACTTGCCGCCACCTGCTGGCAGTTTTAGCATTTTTAAAAGTATCTTTTCAGTCATTTAATATTTCTATATATAAAACATTAATCTCATCATGAATTTAATTGCACTCATGCCACCTCTGAGTCTTATTAAATGTCTGAAAGTACACCAAGCCACTTTTGTGTTCTTCTGTGCCACCTCTACAAATTAATTTTGTTACTGATTTCATTTGATTGGTAACTTATATTCCTTATTAGGGGCCAAGCACCGAAGGTGCGTAGGCACCTATTGAAATCTTATTCTTCTTCTTCCGCTCTGGAGTCTATGGCAGCCCATAGAACCGCTTGCTGGAAAGTTGCGAAATTTGGCACACTGATAGAGGACAGTCTCAACATTGACAGACTCAAGTTTGGAGTGTCTAACTCAAACTCTCTAGCGCCACCACTTGTCCAAAGTTTCATTCATATTTATGCTAATAACTTTTGAACCATTAGGCACAGAAGGAAATTGTATTATTATCTTCAGATCATGCTGGCAAAAAGTTATGTAATTCAAGTTGATTCGTCAAACCGTTCTCAAATAACACGCAAACTAATTCTACGAAAAGCATGCAAAAATGCATGTGAGGCTATATCGCCGCAACGATTTGGCGTATCGAGACCAAACTTGGTGAGTGTTATACCAAGCATGACCTGAGACTACCTGCAGTATTTCGGCACTGTGCCACCTAGTGGTCAGGAGATATGAAAAATTCACATTTTTGCTTATACCTTCTGAATGTTTTGGCCAAAAATCACAAAACTGGTCTCTTTAGATTCGGTGCATCATGCCGAGTCGAACCATACCCAATTATCCCCATGTCAGCCATTTTGGGCATCGGCCATTTTTAATTTTGTACTAAAATGCTATATTTTACGAACGCATTGACGTATCGTTACGAAACTTGGTATGGGTCATCAGCACGATGCCCTAAAGGAGTCGGAGAAGTTTCGAGCCAGCACCACCTAGTGGTAAATTCAAATATTCACATGCTTATAACTTTGGGTGTGGTCGACTTATTTTCACGGGAGATCCCTTTTTAGACTCCTGAATCCTTGCCGAGTGCAGCGATACCAAACATAGCAGGTTTTGCCTTATGGTTTGTTCAACGTTGCATTTTAGCGCTTAAACATTTGCCAATATCTTAGAAACCGTAACTCCGAACGACACGAAACCACCGTACGAAATTTGGCACGCCGGCTAAACATAAATACCGAAATGACAAAATTTTGATAGTAAGTGGCAAAAAAAAAATGCAAACAAAGTCGGCCGTCAGTCATTTTTTTCTCTTCTCATATATAAAAATGTCTATAACTCCAAAACAAAATAAGATATTTTCACCAAATTTGACATGTATGGGCACACTCTAAGGACACATAAAAAATTTGGTGGGATTGTGCCTCTTGGTGGCGCTATAATTGAACAAAACATGAAATTGCCATTGCCTACAATAGAGTATTATGATGTAAAATGACCTTGGTCAAAAGTTCAAATGAAATTTCAAATAAATTTATGTGAATTTTGCCTATTGTAATGAGACTGGTATTAATACATTCCTTATACCAATGTTGCCATAGTCAGCCAAACTTCCTGTCTGCCATTTAGATTTTCTTTAAAAACCTACTTTTTCAAACTCCTCCTAGACCGTTCGTCCAATTTTCACCAAAATCGAGTCATATCATCTTCAGACCATGCTGACAAAAAAAAAAAAAAAAGTTACAGATTTTGTGTTGATAGACAAAACCGTTTTTGCATACCACAGCAACGAATTTGAGGCATGATGCCAAAATGACTCCGAGGCTGTATCTCTGCAAATCTTTGATATAATGACAACAAACTTTGTGTGTCAATGTCACCTCACACAGAACACACCAAAATGATTACAGCGCCACCTGTTGGTCAAAAGTGATAAGTCATTTAATCATATTACTAGAGGTTGTATTTATGATTTTTTTTAGCCATTTCAATTACAATCATCCTAAAATTGCTTTTATTACTCTGTTGCATTTGGTCTGATGCTCCATGCCATGCTTAGCTCCTCAATTTGCATCTGGAGTGCTTGGCCCCGTAATTGCTGCTTGCAGCTATATTTCTACTTGTTCTTATTCTGTCGTTTTTATTACAATTTTTAAAAAGCTTAAAAAAATATATATATTTTTTAAGAATTTGACACAAGATTACATTTAATAAAGTTCAAGGAGTCAAATATCACCTCGTAATGGGAAGGCTACTTTTTGATAAAATTTTGGATTATGGATTAGAAGGTGCTCCTAAAATTTTGAACGTGCACAAGTGGTCCTAAAAAGAAGCACAAGCAGTATGAGACAAAAGACTTGATATGGTGGTGCTACCAGCCTTGATTTGAATCAAAATGATGGCGCCACATCCATTGACATTCATGCAAAAATACAGACACAGATCCACAAAGATCACAAATCAAGAACTGTACTACAAGAATGAGTTTGCAAACACAAACTTGCAACTGCAAAACTGAACAAATTAAGAACAAACTGCAATTGATTCACTGAGTTAATCAAGGGCTTCAGATCTCACTAAAAGGACACAAACATTCACACTATTCTTATAGTTCTGATAAGGTCATAATGGGCCCTAAATGAGGCCAGTGTGCTTCCTGAGAATCATAAGAAACCCCGGGAATCCAGCTATACGAGAGCTGTCAGCACCACCACCTGTGAGAGCCTGAGAACATCTCAGTCAGAGAAGACAACCTGATTCCACCACACTCATAACAAGCAATAAATGTGACATCTTCATAAAGTTAAAAGTTAACTTGACAGAACAGTCTCATGAGTTCAGCCGCTGCCAGGATTGAGCCAATTACAACAATGTCCTCTATAAACACCTGCCACAGTACTTGTTAAATTGAATGTTACATATCTTTTAACAGTCAGCATGTTTTTCCACTTTAATTGTAAAATCAACAACAACCAAAGAACTGAATAACTCCAGGGTTTGCCTAATCTGTAAATTAAAGATTTTAATAACACCATGTTGTCAGGACTGCTTAAATGAAAATGATCATTTACTCAAATTAACGCGTAATATTAAGACACATTTCTGTGAAATATGTATTGATCATATATCTTTTCCACATAATGACTACAGCTGTCAAGCTCCTAAAAGGCACTATAAAATACAAAAAACAACAGAAAAGAATTCACACGCCCCATGCACAATATTTTCCAAGTTTTGAAGTCATTGGATATCTTTGCGTAAAGAATAAAGTGAAATTTAAGTTGTTAATCACTAAAAAAATATATGCTTGACAGCAGTCCCCTTTCACTTTCATTGCATGGAAAAGAGCAGCTTGGACTTTCTGCAATTAATATCTCCTTTTGTTTGCCGTGTGAAAATGGATTTCATAAACATGCTGTTGAACAAACAATGACAGAATTATCATTTTGTTAACTACTCCTTTAAGAAATAAACATTAGTCATACAGTAATGTGACCCTGATAAAACTAGCTGCTTTTTGTTTTGCAACCTCAAAAAGACAGAAACAGGGATTTTCTTTTACACCAAAGGCACGTTTGTTTGCAATCATGAGATTTCTCAATGAATCCATTCGACTCAACCTGCAAGCGTCCTGATTAGACAGCAGATGGGCTCATTTTTAAATGTGGTTAATTATTAGTTAGCAAGTTAAATCATTAAATGCACTGCACTGTACTCATGCTATCTCAAAACTCCCTGTACAAATGATCGGTTTCAACATCAAAGCAAAGGTCGCTGGAGGAAGCTGGTTAAAAACACACGAGCAGCACTGAACGTGAATCTTTTGCAGGCCTCGAGCCCAGAACCTCTCGTTCCCAGGGCGACGAGTGACTGACGTAACTTTCAAACGCGGGTCCGAAAGCAACATAGTACAAAATCCCATGACACTCACAGTCCAAATGCTTCTTCTTTGGCCCCATGACTTCGTGTGTGGTCGCCTTGCACACCGTTTTGGACACAGCGGAACCGGTGACACTGTGTTGCGCTGCCGTTATTCGGTCCGTTATGCTCTGTCCAGACATCCTCGCCGTTTTAAACAAACAGAAAAAGGGGGAAAACAAAAAAAGAGGGGGGAAATCTGCTCGGGCTGTTAAATCCAACGGCAATGCTGTAGCCCCTGGGATGTGCACTGCTCCGCCACCTGACTGGGGAAGAAAGAGAGAAAAGAAATGAGACTGCACGTAAGACGCATCCGCCGCTTCAGAGTCCAAATGAAGTTTGCTCTCTATGTGTGCCGTCAGCTGATCACGACATTTACGTACCAAACGTTTCCTCTTCTATTAACGGCAGCGTCCTCTCGCTCTCGCTCTCGCTCTCGCTCAACCCGTCTGTCACGCACTCTCCTCTCCCTCTCCCTCTCCCTCTCCCTCTTAACTCCCCCTTTTCCTCCACAGTGGCTCTCCTCTCGGATCTCGCCTCCCCCTGCTGGGTTTAAAAGGCTCGTAGGAAAATGGCGGGTCAGTTTCCTATTTTCAGAGGATACTCCCAAGGTTTATATGGATGCTGAATGACCGTGTGAAACAACGCCATGTTGGCTCCAAATATCGTACTGGTGCCTCGCATTACGTAGAACGTGAGTACTGCTGTTTGGCTTGTGAGCCAAAATGGCAGCTCTAGATGGATTGTTTCTGTGTATTATCTACTAGTTCCGTGACATTGCACGTGACGGAATTTGTCCAACCAAAAGTCATGGTTTCACATGTGGCACTTTTTACAACATTTAGACACGTGTCACTGATTAAATGAGCATTTATGTCATCGTTTACAAAATAATTAATTATATAATTGTTATATACAATTATGCGTGTGTGTGTTTTATGTTAAAATTAAATATAATAAGTAGAAAGTGTGTTAGTGTTCCGTAAGGCAGACGTTTCACAATAACGCTAGTTCAAAATATAATTTTTAATTGGAAGGGTAACGGGGGGGAAAAAATGAAGTTTTCCAGTTTTTGTTTATCTTTATTACTTACAAACATTATTTCATAATTAAAATTATAACTATTATTATAGTGATAATTATCATTAGTTTATAAATGAAAGGCTTATTATTAGCTTCCAGTTGAGCAACTGATGAACTTGTAGGAAAGAAAATCAAAATGAAACATTTTACTTAGTGCAATTAAATTATTTAATCTTTCATTACAAAATGCCTGGAAAGGGAGACATCTAGTGATAAAAATATGCAATTACAGAAAGCATCAAAAACCCGTTGTCTCGCGTTTTGAGGCAATCCATAAATCCTGAGCTGCCTAATTCAGCTTGATGCATTCCAATATTGATTGTGTAAGAATACAAATATTTACAAGCATCAGCATCTTGTGAATATTTTCCTGTAGTCATAGATAGATAGATAGATATACTCAGCTCACTGGTGCAATTAGATCTAACTCACGCTGAGGAGCAGAGAGGGAGAGGGTAGCAGAGATTGAATGTCCAGGAGATCAGCCACTAATGCACAATGCCAGAGCACTGATCAGTTTCAGGACGAGGCTCATTTGTGTGAAATGGGCCGAGCAGATTGACTTAGGCCTGTATCATCAGTCGGCATCGCACAGGTGGCATCAGTGCTGTTGTTGCAGTCTCACCAGTAGCGGGCGATATACACATGCAGGTCTCTGTGTCCTTGTTCACAAACTTTCAAGAGAGTCTTGACAACATCCATTTGAGAGACCGCAGGTCAGCTTTTTCTATTTACAACAAATATTCTACCAGAATACTGAACAATATTTCAACAGATTGCATTTATATTTTACATAACAAGTGTAATCTATAACTTTCAGGATCCAGTTTGTATTTTTACATAACTATTATCTTTTCACGATTTATTATCATGATTTCATTATTTTTTTATTTATAAATGAAATATACTAAATAATAATAAGCATGATCATAAAAATGATGATGACTATTGTTATTATTATTATAATAAAAATGTCGTTTTTTTTTATATAATTTCCTGCATTACAATCCAGACACACTGATGTTTTGTACGCTGTGGATCTCTGTCAAGGTTTGTGTCTATGAGGTGAAAGCTGGTTATAGATATGGTTCATAATGAAAAGGTGTGTCCCTCAGGTCTGAATACCACATGGCTTGTGTTTCACACATAAACAATAAGGCATCCTGTGATTTCTGCCACCTGGGACCAGAAACACAGCTTTTCTGTCTGCTTAGTCCAGCAGAGCTCTCTCACATGCACAATAGTTTCCTCAAATGCTGTCCAGCAGTGTTTCAACTCTATAAACTCTTTCCTGGATCAGAGTCCTTTTTTACACAATAGTGCCACATTATAAACCCAAGGTTTTTTATATATATTAAAAGAAATACATTTCTTTTGATACCATAGAAAACACTTATTATAAAAATAAACACATCAAAATGACAAATTAATCAATCACTGATATAATAAACTAAACTAATTCACACTAACAGATTAAAATGGTTATTAATATTGCTTATTCGTTCTGACTTTTAAAAAATGTATTCAAGCATTTTTAAGTTTCAAGAATCCTCTACCAATTATTAAACTCAATTTCACATATCTTATTCAAATATCTTATATTTATTTTTTATTGAAAATTTCTAACGTGAGTATTTCAAGTAATAGATTTATTTAAAAACAACTAAAAAGGGTCACAAAATGGGTCATTAAAAGGGTGTGAGGAGAAAAGTGATATAGATGTCAGATGCTCGACATGGATACGTTTTTTTCTGTATAGCATGTGCTATATGACCCCATTCACCAGCAGATATAACTGTTTTTGTGTTGGATGAGGGCTAACATAGATGACAAGTGATGTTCCCTTTGCTGACAGGAAAACAGGAGGTTACTAAGTTGGCTGCTGTGACAGACAATACAATCTACCGAGAAGATTCCGAGATACCGAGTCACTGACAGACTTTACTCTATCCCTCTCTCTTTTCCACACTCCATCTCTCACAGCCACATAGCTGACTTGTTTCCATATTAGAAGTATTATAAAATATGGTGAAACTATTTCAGCTGTGTTATCTGTACTTATGTTGGTATTGCGGATCCATCTGTATGAAATAGATTTTATTTTTTTTTATCTGCTCATGTTTTGTAGAACTTGACTTTGAGACAGTCCCAACAAAGTCTTTCTAATCTCCACTGAATTGCAACGTTAATATCCAATTAGTGGCCTAAATCATTCCAGTTAGATTTCAAATCAAATCTACATCACAAGTAGTTAAAATCGACTGTGCCTTCAGTTAAAACCCCTTATGAATAAACATGGCACAATTAAACAACAAAGCAAGCCGATTCTTTGAGAGAGACAGAGGCAATTAGCAAAACTTGTGGCTTTTACATGCCTTATGGCGCTTCAAAAAGGCCACCGAAAGTGTGTTCCTTAGTTTGAAATTCCACTTTGCTTTTCTCTCAGCAGGCTAGACGTATCCCATCCGCCGGATAGCTATGACAACCAAACAGAGACAGATTGCTCATCGTTCCTAATTCCTTACAGGACGCAGTGATTGATGCACTGGGCCTGACACCTGCTTGCCCACCAGCTGATGGCATTTCACACGGCTAGAAGAAAAACAGTAATTACTTTGTACCCTGTTAAAAAAAGAGACACGTTTTACCTGAAACTATAGACTGATTTGTGATACAAGATATGCAGATATTATTTTGCTAAGAGAGGATGGTCAAATATTATTGTTGGTTAGACTAAAGACCTTAAGAAAGGTTAGATATGCCATTGTCATCACTATTATTGTCGGTTTTATATTGCATTACTGAGCTTCTCACCATAACCTCCTAATGACCCACATTATTCATTGCGATGTGAGTAAAGTCATCAGATAAATAAAGAGACAAGAAAATGAAGCATGACCAAATGCCAGGCAAATAAAAACAGATACAGCCTTTGTGTTGCGATAAGCTCTTAATGTGTTCATAAACACAATTCCTTCTGGTGGCTTTGACTTTAGAAGTTCAGATGTGAACGGAGACCGTTTCATCATTCTATTTGGTGTTTAAATCGAGCACAAAACACATTTGTAACTATAAAACCTTCCTGTGATTGTTCTAAACCCATTATATGAGTGAATAGCTAACTCTATTCACATTTATAAGCATTTATACAAAGTTTTAAAATACCTCAATTGTCCAAGCACAATTTTCTAAATATAAAATAAAGATACAATTAAACAAAACAAAGGCTTTTATTTTTGCACGTCTGAAAACTTCAAAAATGCTGCCTAAACCCATAATTTGGGTTTTGAATAGCTAACTAAAGAACATTTAAACAAAGTTTTAAAAGGCTTCAACTGTCCAAGGACACAGGTTTCCAAAAATAAAATAAAATAAAATATATAAATATAAGTAATACATACTTAAATACATAAAACTTTTTTTTTTTTTTCATGGGTCAAAAATTTTTAAAAAATTTGTTTTAGTGTTTAAATCGAGCACAAAACACATTTGTAACTATAAAACCTTCCTGTGATTGTTCTAAACCCATTATATGAGTGAATAGCTAACTCTATTCACATTTATAAGCATTTATACAAAGTTTTAAAATACCTCAATTGTCCAAGCACAATTTTCTAAATATAAAATAAAGATACAATTAAACAAAACAAAGGCTTTTATTTTTGCACGTCTGAAAACTTCAAAAATGCTGCCTAAACCCATAATTTGGGTTTTGAATAGCTAACTAAAGAACATTTAAACAAAGTTTTAAAAGGCTTCAACTGTCCAAGGACACAGGTTTCCAAAAATAAAATAAAATAAAATATATAAATATAAGTAATACATACTTAAATACATAAAACTTTTTTTTTTTTTTGCATGGCTCAAAACTTTTAAAAAAGTTAGTTTAAAAAAATTAAGTGAATCCACAAATGTCAAAAGAATGGCAAATTATTTTCCATTTTCTCAAATTTCTCTATTCTAGAGTGTACATGCAATAACACATGAGGAAATCCTTACAGTAATAGTTCTGCTTGCCCTGATATCTTGCCAAGGTGAACAAGATTGTGTCACACTGATAAACGGCACTATAGC